GCAGCGTATCCGACAGATTAGCCCGTAAAATCGTGAGGATTGTGCGTACTTAGCCTTGCGCATCTCGCCACGAGTGCGATGTGCTGCGAGGGATCTGGCCGGGCGAGCTCAGTTCAAGCCTGTGGAAAAGGGGAATTCCAAAAAAAAGAAAAAAAGGGGAGGAATTCAATAAAGGAGCTGTGCTAGCAGCGATTTGCCCCCACACCGATCTACGACATCTCGCAAGAAGCCAGGACCAACCAGAGCAAGACGAATGGTCCTCGCCTGACACTGCCTCACCAGCCTCGACTCCCAGTCATATACTGGTTCGCCTTGGTTTTCCACATCTTATTGCTCCCACAAGTCAGTCTGCATGATGTAGGTTCCCCCAAACCCCAAATACGAAAGCCCTGTGTCGAGGTTCAGGGGTTTCTGGGACTTCGACGGCAGCGACGCGCAGTCGCATGCTGCAAGAGCCGGGTTTGTGCCGATGTTCATCAGAGCACAGTAGAGACCAGCTTTCGTGCGTTCCAGGAAAGGGATAGCAGAAAACCTGTGCCGTGGTGCCTGCCCGCTTACTGCGATGTCTGTTCGATTGCTGCGCTCCGACAGCTACCCTCTTGCTGCCCAGCTCTGCTACTTCATTTCTACCGCAATACCGTGGTGCACCATATGGTCTGCTGCTGGGTCGTGCGTGGTGCCTCAAGCCGTGCTTTTATTGGACATGATCCTTGCTCGTGTCATTGTCGCCTCGACAACCACTTCGCATGCGACAATGCTGAACTTCGAGTCTTCGCGGTAGGTTCGCACGGTGCTAAGAAGAGCTGCCGTTGGAAGTGGTCGACAGTTGACGCCTCAACTCTGCCAGCCTAGGTACTCCACCGCGGATCCCAGAGGGCGACAGCATCACGCATGAGAGCGAGGCTTTGCCATGTTAGATTTAGGCATGCCTCTGACTGTCACTGAGCTGGTCCCTGAACGAAGTCTGCTCGACACACTCACTGGACAGCAAAACCCACCTTTACTTTTTCCGATTGCTCTTTGCAGGGACAGTCGTCACCATCCAAGCTTAAGGAGCCATCAACAGCCACCTGGCAGAGAGAGATCCACCTACTGCGATGGGAACGGTGAGCGTTGACACTTGCGATATATGAGGTGTCTCTCGACATGGAGCTGAAAGGGGACTGGGCCGGATTCGATCTATTGCATCTCGGCTTGCTGTTGGGTATGCAGCATGTTGATGCTTGCAGCAGGGTTGCGGTATGAGCTGGTCGCCGCAGGCGAGCATCAAAGATGTGAAGCCTCCTCAACTTGCTACGGCTTGTCCCCGCCCCCCACAGCTCAGGACCGTTGGTGGAGAGAAGCTGGTAGTGCACCGCCGCGGCAATCTCGTGGTCATTTCCGGCTGCATCACCACCGTGTGCGGGACCTGCAGGAAGCTCCAGCTCTGGATGTTGCAGATGTTGGCCAGCCAGGTCGCCCATGAAGCAAAAGGCGAACTTCGACCTCACCGTCGGCCAGGCATCCAGAAAAAAACTGACTCCGAAGCGTATCAACTTGGGAGTTGGGCGGCTTTGAGTTTCCAGTTTCCGACTCTGCACATTGCTACCTTAAGCACATAGACCAGAGTCCGCCAGAAGTCGTTCGCAAGTTGTTTCAATCATTGGCTTAACTTGGTGGAGTGCTTTCGGGTCGGTTGTGTTGTTGCCACTTCGTGTCGGTCTCGCATCCCATGGGTCGTGGCGCCGGCCACTTGTGGAAGCAGGTGCCGTACCACAGCAACCCGCAGCGGTACGTCCCCTTCGTGGCGCCCACAGCCATGTCGCGCTATCAAGGCGCGACTTCAACAGCCGGGTGCACGTGCGACAGCAGAACTGTTGCTTGATTGAGACGGGTTCCGATTTTCACGGCAGTCGTGAACATGTTGACTGTGTCACCGACGCCTTTCCACAGGCATCCAGCAGTGTGGAACTAGCTCCACGTTGCGAGATGATGGCAGGGCACTGAAGATACCAACCGGGTGTCCGAAGCAGCTCGGAGTGCTGAGGCAGGCTCATGATCAACTTCAACAAGAGCCCTGGCTCCATTTTTGCCTACCGTCGCCAGATGCCAAACGAGTGTCAGGTTTAGGACACGCAGTAAGGAACACCAATCCCATGGTGCTGCACTTCTCGGGGCTGGTCTACAGCATCCGAGGTCCCAACTGACAGCCTGTCACTTGGTTGGGGACAACTTTCGGGTTCCCTTTGCCAGGTGAGGCGGAGGAGGAGATCGACATCTTCGCAAGAGACCGTCGCAAGCAAGCCAAGGACACTTTCGTGAACTTGCTGTGCTATGGCAGTGCTCCGGCCATAGATACAACGCAGTCCTGAATCACGCCATTCTGAAGGATGTGAAGGATGTCACTGGCAAGGGCAAAGGCAAGGGAAAGGACCGTACAGGTTTGGAAGGCTTGCTGTTATCAGATGCATGAGCAGCCGCTACTGGCCCCGTGCCGATCGATGCTGCTTAGAGTTTGTAATTGCAGAAATGATGTATCAGATTGAGCGGTGTGGTTGTAATGAAATTGCGACGGTTTCGCTCATGCCTTCTCTCGCCATGGCATGAGCGGAGCTGTTGTCGTTTACCAAGTCAAGACGTGCGCGGGACCTTATCTGGTCGTTTCGCGATCCCCCGAAGTGGCTGGGTGATTGCATAAATGACAATATTTCCTTGACTTACTAGGAAGCAGAAAGCTGATTTGTGCCGGCCCAGAAATTTTCTGACTTGTACTTAATTGTGCCAAGCTTCTGCCACGCTCGAGCGATGTGCAGGCAGTGCTGCGCTGCAATAGATTTGCTTGACGAGTCGCCCCACCCTTTATCTGCTATGCTTCCTCCCGCTAGCTTTGGTGGCCCTCTTCTCAAGTTGGCTGCCAAAGCGAATAACCTGCCTCGGCCAAGTGTGAAGTGCTCATGCATGTTACAGGCAATGTTCGTTAACGCGGAACTGCGACGATTTCACTTGCTGAGATGCGACACGGAAAGCAAACTACACTGTAGATGTGGAGGCTTTTCGGCTTTGGAGACGGCGAGAGTGGGCCAAGCTCAATTACACTTTTTGCTGCTGGTGTCGCACTGCCATGCGCCTTGGAGGACGAGGACATGTCGCCCACTCGACGCCAGGAATTACGGGCATCGCCACAGGAGGGGACTGCATGTCCGGCATCTTCCGTGCCTAGCGCATCCTTTGTGCACTTTGTGTTTCTGCCGCAGGACCCTCCGGGACTGCAGAGGGAGAATGGCATTGTGACGCTGCAGGCGACCGGATGTGGAAGCATGCGAGATGGTAGCCGCAACGTTCAAAAGCATGCAGGGCTCACTCCTTGAAGCGACCTACGGCTTCTCCGACCAAATGGTCGGCACTCTGCCAGAGGCAAGCACCCTTCCCCAGTCCCGCTGGACGTTTTTGCATCGGCACTTTGCATGCTCTTGCCAGGGCTATTGGCCGAAGCGCGAAATCCGCTGCCTCGCGCCCTTGCTCCGCATGCCAAAGCAGGCGCAAATGGAAAGCTTGACTGAGAGGCTGCAAGGTTGCTTTGGTCAAGCCGTTGACGTTTCTTTGCCGGCGGCTGCATACGGAACAAGAAGAGAACAAGAAAGAGCGAGAACTTGTGTCCCCCTCTGTTTGATCACTAGGACACTCGTCGCCCCACTCCATGTGATGTCCAATGAAACTCCTCGCCTGCCTCCCCACCTTACGCCGAACTGAACCTTGCGCCCTGAGCCTTTCCACTCCGCCCCTAAACCTTTACTACAGCCGCCAGCGATCAAACAGAGGGAGCTCTTTGCAATGGACAGCCCCGGTGATACGCGCCGGTCAAGTTACCCCTCGATGCATGACGTAATCATGTAGATGTGGTTTTCTCATACATATGTGCACACGAGGGAGACGGAATCTTGCCAGGCGTCCAACGCAATCACCGGGGAAGACGTACTTCGTTGCACTGACCATATTACATTCTCCTGACAGTATCGTCATCCCGGGGGAGCTTTCACGCCTTCAGAGCCCCGTAACACATAGGGGTCCATACGGGCAAGAGGGGTCTCGCACACCCCTCAAGCCCTATGGAAGAAGAGACAGAGTGACAGCGTGCACCGTGGTTGATTTATCTTACGCGTTTGGGCTGGTGTGCCCTTTATCGCGAGGTGGGGCAACGGGTCCATCCTAAAGCCTGCGGAGAGAAAGACAGAGTTGGGCACGCCCTTCCGCATAGGGGTGACTCCCTGAGCCATCGAACAGAATAAAGAGTGAACGAACGAACGAACGAAAGAGGTAGATAGAGAGAGAGAGAGAGGGCAAGTTAAAAAAGGAGGGAAGAGAACGACAGAAAGAGAGACCGAGAAAGGGCACCAGCCCAGTGCAGCCGTTCGCATCTGCCAACATGATGGACCGGGTAGCGCGGACGCGCGGGCTGAGGAGACTGCCCTCAGCTCACACCCGAACCAATTCAAGGCAAAGCAAACAGAGAGGCATGGACAGAGGAGAAGAGAGAAGAGAACGAGAGGAGAGGAGGGGAGGGAGGAAGGGAGGGCGGGAGGGAGGGAGCACGATATTTTGTCTCAGCCCCTTTTGTCAGGACGATTTCGCATGCTGTCCTATTGCCGTGCCTGAGAGAGCAAGGATCGACTGCATTCATTTCGTAGATCTTGGCAAATCCCGTTTGCTTTCTGACCGTTGTGGCGATGAATCGGCAGCGGATGCAGATCGAAAGTTGAGGTTTGGATTTGGAACTTCTAGCTTGCTAGTGAAGTCTGATCAGATGTAAGTGCCAACTGAGGATCAGAGCATAGCGATGACCATCAAGCCTGACGGGAACATCTACGTTCAAGGCGGAAACCATCACGCTGTCGACCAGACGCTGGGCTGAACGAGCCAAACCACGGGGGAGTATCACTCCCGCAGAGAGTGTTGGTCAGGCGCTTTCGTCTCAGTGGGACCTGTGCGAGCTCAGGAAAGGCCTCATGCGAGTGCTGCCACAGAGGAAGCGAGGAATCCTGAGCTTTGACGGGTTGCGTTTCTCCCAAGCCAACAACGGGCTACCGCGATGCAGATGAGGGGCATCTATAAGACTGGCGGTAGTGATCGCCATTATTACCACCGCTACCATGGCGACAGCGACGACCAGAACAGTTCCTAACTACTCCACTTAAGATTTCGCTGCGAGGGCAAGGCCCCCCAGCGACCAGGCCTATGCTTAGCTTAGCTTTTTCTGCATCAAAGGCTCCCGATAAGCCTGGCGGCCGGCCTTGACAACAAGCAGAACGTGAGCAAACTCATGGAGCGCCTTGGTCTTAAGGGGCAGCCTCTCTGGAGCCCTAGTCCTGCTGAAGTACTTGTTATTTCAAGCACGATTTATCGCTCTGTCTGTGGCTAGGTAGTGAGGTAGTGTTTCTTCGCAAGGATGCTAGTTGGCAACCGCACCGACTCGGCATTGGCATTCAAGCACGGCGATGTGGTCTTGCTACTTGGCTTGTGCAGCTTGGACATGTTCCGGGATGGACTTTTGAACCATTGCTGCTCACTGCTTCTCGGGGCTGATGCTGACTTCAGATCGAGTGCATCCTTTTTCCTCCCAAAGTTCAAGAGTGGCAGACGTTTCATTCATTATTTGTCGAGTGTCAGGCTGGAGGGAGGCTTAGACTGGCAGCTTGGCTGAGCATCATCTGGGGGCTCACACCATAGGCTCGTTGGGCGGTGCTGGAACCCGAGGATCAGCAGCAAGCCGCTCAGCAACAAGCAGGTCATCGCCAGATTGCCGGAAGGTGATCGACGGGTCACATCTTTTGTTCGGACTGCTTTGGGCCCTGCCAATAAAAAGGTCACGAAGCCACTCGTTTAACCATTACACTCTATACACTGCTGCCAGATACTGTTGACATGACGGCAGGTTGCTGGCCACGCCGGCGAGAGATCTTTTTCACCCGTGGGCGAGACGAGGATGGATTCTTCTGCAGGTTCGTGAAAAAGACATAAGCCTCTATTTCACAATCTGTTTGATTGTGTTTGGTTTTGATGCCCTAGAGGAATAGGCTTCATGCAGTGGTTCCAAGGTCTGCCGGAGAGTTTGAGCAGTGAAAGTAGTCAGGAGCGGCGTCGAGTGGATATCGACAAGTGGGGCCGGATCTTCTGCCCCGAAGGCTCAACCCCGAACCTGCCGAAGCTGACCCACGCGCGCGGTTGCCATGTCACAGCTTGAGTGAAGGGTCCCAGGTCATCACGAAGCGTCACGCTTAAGCAACCGCAAGGGGTCAGCTCACCGTTGCAGGCGAGGACAAGACGAGCGACGGCGGTCATGTGGAACTCAGCGGTGACTCGGAGCCAGATAGCAACAATAAGCCGTAATAAGCCGGATCCAGAGCGCTCATTGTTGCACGGACTTCCGCAAGCATGCCCGCATGTCTGGCCAACCAATGCTTCGCACTCCTGTCTCGCATGATGGGCTTGGTCTCTATGCGAGAACTTTCTCTGATAATTTCCCAGGCATCATCTTCATTGCTGCTTCTGAGCCCCCCGCCACTCCGCCGCTGGAGGCGGATATTGACGACCTGACACTGGGTCTGGATATTCGCTCGGGAAATTACTTGTACAGTAGCTGACACAGTCAGAGTCTTGAACTTACTTCGACCTGTAGATTGAAGCGTGAAAAGATTATGCAACACAACTGCATAGTTGAAAGCACCTCCGCCACTTGATGTTCGTTCCTGATCCAGTCTACGAAGAGAGAGAGAGAGAGAGAGAGAGAGAGAGTGAGAGGGCGCGCACGCGCGCGGGAGGGGGTTCCGCCTTCTCCTTGACTGTGTTGAAGAGAGTGAGAGAGATGTGGGATGCAGTTCCTGGATATATCGGGGCGAAAACGGCCACAGAAAAAGCGCATCCAATCAACAGTCGGGGCCCTTGCCGGGACCCCGGAGGAAACGGAGCCAGAAGAGGCGGCCGGTGCGTGACATTCAGGGGCTTCAAGGTACATTGCGGCGCCGATTGCCGATCCTTAACGGAGTGCCTGATAAAGAGTGCGAGCGGGAGAGCGAGAGAGAGAGAGAGAGAGATAGAGCGCAAGAAGAAGAGAGAGAGTTGAAGTTGACGTAGTTTTCTTGCGAGAGGTTATTTTTGCACTCTAGTAGGTCTAAAACTCCGGCAAAGAATTCGAGAGCAGGTGTCCCAAAGTTGAACTAAGCTGTACTGTGGGTTGACATCGCGGGAAAGCATCGGGGGAAGTGATGTACCGTCTTTATGTTTTTCTGCCGATGTAAACCGAACCTTCCCACGCCTCCTTGAAATCCCATAGCACGTTGGGGGGCCAACAGGCCGGGGGGCTTCGACAGCTCCCTATGCCCTGCGGAAGAAGAGAGATGGCCCCCTGCACGAGGGTGGAGGGCAATACACCTGCCTCAAACCTGGAGCAAGCAAGCAAGCAAGCAAGATGTGTGTGTCTGTGTGTGTGTGCGTGTGCGTGGGTGCGGGGGAACACTGGACCGTGCTCCTAAATGCTTGGTCTGCTTGGTAGAGACTGAGCGGGAGATTTGGGGCGGTGTCTGGCCCAAAGCGTGCTATGCTCCGAATACCAGGGTCGTCGGGCATACCTGATGTGCGGGGATGCAAAAGCGAACCGAGAACCTGCGATTGCGCGATGGGGGAGGGGTGTAGAAATTCTGAAAGAGAGGGGCAGCGCCGCACAGAGCATCTGTATAGTCGCATGGTAGTAGAGGGAGAGGTGTTCTGCAGCCCTTCAAGCATCCTCCTGCAAGATCCTAGGAAGCTCCTGTACAATCGCACCGTGGTGGACGTTGTGGCTTGGCCAATTGACAACTTGCTGTCGCTAAATGACCCGCGGACTTCACTGGTGGCATATTGTCGGTATTCCGCTGGGCATGTCAAACATCGAATGCATGTCCTAGGTCCTAGGTGAAGGTTCTCAGCTTCTGCCAAAATCCAACAAAGCCTCGAGGCAGCGGGCTCCTACAAGGGGCATGAGATACTGGAGCAGTTCATTCGGCGATGCAACCACTATGCAGCTCAAACAAGTTGCAAGTCAAAGGCAGCAGTAGGAGGTCGATGCGGTCGCGTTCAGTCCAAGGGGGGTTTCTGTCGCTGCTTTGAACCGTCAGGGGATGTCCTTGGCTGCAGAGTCTAGGTAACCTTGTTAGCGCAATCTCGACACTTGCGGCTCCGTTGTGATGAGCCGGCAGGGTTGAAGTCAAGTTCCACTCGATCTGAAACGCCAAGGAATGGAATCTGGTGAAGTATCACATGGCACAGAATGCTGGAAGAAGAATGATGACACCCCTTGGCGACGCATTGCTTCGAGGTTTGCCGTAGCTGCATTCACGTCAGCAGCTTTTGACCGTTCACTCAAGCAGAAGGTCAGCTTTCAGCACGGGGACTCCGCAAGGGGTGAGTTGCATCGCCTACATTGTGGCAGTTATGTAGCTAACCGGTCGCTCCTCGTCGCAGAAACAGGTAGGGACTTCGGCTCGGCAACTTCAGAACGCAGATTCTCTTTGCAATGATTCCAGATTTTGAGCTTCTGCAGTGCTGTGCCCTTGAGATGGCCCTTAAAATGCGTTGCAGCCAATGAGCTTCATCCAAGAGCAGCAAAGCAAAAACCTTAAGCGAGCGTTTATCATCCTTTGATAGGCTGGGAGAGAGGCAATGAGTACAACCTCGACAAGGACTGTCACCGAAACTCGGTCTGGATGTTGAACGTGGGCGGTGACATGTCCATGACCTGTTGTCGTTTGCATGTACTGGAAATTAATTTTCATGAAGAGCTGTAGCTGTAGCTTTCAGCCAATGTAGCAGTGGAAACCCATCGCAGTCGCAGCCTCAGCAACTGCCGGAAGAGCCCTGCACACGAGGCCTGTGGAGGGATGTGCTAAGAGAGAAGATGGATGAGCACGGCACTCGGTTCACAGCCTTGGCCGTTTGTAGAGTTGGGGTGGGCCGGCATGCCTGGTGCAGGAGAGCTTATGTCGCGGGAGTCGGGACTTGTGTGTGGCTGGGTCCAGGCACTGGGGCATCTCCTCGTGGCATACATTGATGCATCTTTCAGATGAGATGCACGACAAGGCCGCTTTTGTTTTTGCTGGACCGTTGATTGTTGCATGGAGGGAGGAGACGAAAGATCCCTATGAGCCCATGAGTGGCTGCAGGTGCTGGAATGCTGCAGTGAGAAGCTGACCGACCGGGACAGGAAGCTCCTGACGAAGACTAAGCGCACCAGCGAAGGACAGGACAAGAACCTACAAGAACCTGGGGCCATGAACTGCTCCCAACAGCCCGAGAGTAGCCGGCCCTGAAGAAGCGATGCTGGTGCCCTTGGCCTCAGGTCCTACAAGTACACAACCCGGTGCCCTAAATCCTGAGAGTACTGAGGAGACTGGGAGTACACATCATCATATGGTTCTGCCTTGAGGAGACTGGGAGAGGAAACGCCACCCGGGCCTGAACTTCAACCGCTTGGGTGAGATTGCCGCAGAAGCTCGGTGGACAGACACTGGCAGACTTGTCTTATTCCTTTTGATTGCATAAACGCACACATACATACATACATACATACATACATACATACATCTTACATACATACATACTTACATACATACATACATACATACATACATACATAGATAATATATCTGTATGTATATATATATATATTATGTACACACACACACACACTCCTGAGACTTCGACGTTCTTGTGATGGTAATGACAGTCCCTGTGATTGCAGGAAGCACCCTCCACATCCATCCAAGCACATGTGCCCTCTCAAGGTCTGTTTGCCTATGTGCTGAGTTTGAAGGTTAAAGAGCAATTCAAGTAGCGATTCTAGCCCGTGCCGAGCTCCAGGCAGGGTGTCACATCGGCCGGAGGCAGAAGTGCACCACACACCTCAAGGTTAAACATGTTCTCAAACTTTGGTGCCTTTGCTTCACAGCTGTGTACGGTATTGCGTGGTGACCTGGTGTCCCACTAGTGTGACGGCAAGTTCTTCACTCAGGACATCGTTGACCACATGCCCCTTGGCGGCTGAGAGCTTCATCCCATCCTCTTTTTGCCTCTAAGGTCTTTGATGATAAGGACGAGATGCGTTGGTGTTCTTTCGAGCATTTTTTCCTGCCGCAGTTTTTGTTGGAGATGTTTGTGTTTTTATGTTATCATTGACTTGAGCAGTGTACTTTAGCGCAGCTCCTTACCATGTGCCGTCGACATCAAGCAACGTCCCGATGCATTAAAGAAGATGACATGATGCAATGAGGCTGTGTCCTAGCTCGTGCACCGTCAAAGTTAGTGATTAACTCGTAGATCACCAGTTGAAACGACTGGGAGAAGCCTCTAATGTCGCTTGGATGGTCGCAAGGCGCGTAGCTCCACGAACGCTTCCGGTCGACATGTCGTAAACAGGTGACAGTTGAGGTGCGAGGCCCATGAGACTAAGCACGTGCAAAACTCCAAGCAGCTGGACAAAAGAACAACATGTCTGCAGCCAACCAAACTCTGAGACCCTGAATTTAAGCCCGAAGCCTGTGCCGCAGCAAAGAAGTCATGAACAAATCAAGGTTTGAGCATTGGGACTTCTCGGCACAGCTCCAGGGGCTCATGAAGATCCTGGGTTGCAGAGAATTTAACACTGGACGAAAGGCTGGCAATGCTTGTAGTCCTCGAGTGTTTCTTGGCATGTGCGAGGTTTCTTCGGGCATTTAGCTTGAGGTACTCAGTGTTCGACAAGTGGCAAGATCCAAACCGGCTCCGGTGTCAGTCGTAGGGTATCGCCTGCGAATCCACGCTATGAGATCTGGGTAGCCTCGAGGCAAACACAACAGCAGGGTTCCGAACTTGTGTCGTGGTCGATGCACGCTACCGCTGGTGACTTGGACCAGTCTCATGTTCCTTTCCGGATGGCTGAATGCCTGCCGATACGGGTAGAAGTAGGATGCCGGAGCAGAGGAGAAGAGCGGACTTTGTTTATTTCTGGGTGCTGGTCCCGGTTTCCTGGGTGTAGCTTCGCCTCCCGCAGCCCGGGGCAGTTTATCCAAGCCCCCAAGGAACGACTACCGACCTCCAGACAGCATCAAGCACCTCTTCCCACGGCATGTGGCGAAGTGGCAAGAGAAGCTCATCAAGGCACCGGAACGCGGGTGGGAAACTCTTCCGTCAGGAGTCACCCGACCAAGCTTATGATCCAAACTACGCGCAATAGACTCACAAAGCACACGCCACCTTTGTCGCCAGGACAACATCCCGGACAGAGAGATGTCTAGGTTTGAGGAGATCCGGCAGTTTTTCTTCCTGTATGAGACCACAGGAAGCAACATGATGCTTGTCTGGAGATATATAAATGTGGCGACCGTGCAGATGCTGCAGCAGAGCCAGATGCCATCGTAGCACATGGCAGTGCTTCCAATTGCTCCCACAGCAGCTGGTGATGCGGGTATGAAGCCTGCGGGAATCTGCTAGACCTGAAACCCCGCAGTCTCAGGACACACTGCAGTTTGATGGGTGTGGGACCTGGCTTGCTCTGCTTGTGTTGGCTTGGATTGTCGTCCGCCCGGGTGGACCGACCGGCACCATGCAACAAGCCCAAGGTGCCTCCGATCTCTTTACGACCACCGGAAAGTGGTACTTCCCAGACGCTCCGGAAGTGCAGCAGCAGCTCTTTGAGAACGTCGCCTGGCTCTTTGACAGGACACCGGGAGAACGTCTTGACATCAGCTTTGCTAGTTCGCCATCACCAAAGCCTGCGTGGGCATGGCAGCATGTGAGTTTCAAGCTGGAGAGGAACATCCATCACTACATCTCCGAGCGGCAGACTGCCAAATTCCCGTTCATCGAAGACTTCGATATTCAGGTGGTCTTGTGCAGAAACTCTTTCCCTTACAGCAGCATCCAAGACACGTATGACTTAAAATTCAAGTTCCACCATTACGACAGTTACTTCGCGACATCATAAACATGTACAGTGTAGACCTGCAGTGTGCCACCCACTTGGTCATGATGCTCCAAGAGTCTGTGTCAATGCTGTGGCGTCTGAGGATTGGGCGGCTTGGACTTCGGATTCAGGGACAACTCCCTCCCCCCCCGGCCTAGATTTTGACCAGCTACCCTGTTGCCGCGACTAAGCTCGTGTTGCCAGGAAGGGATTGTTGGACTCCCTCCGAACTGCTTTCAATTTCAAGCCTGCCAGGCGGCAAAAGACTATCGGCCCATTCCGCCAGGGCGCGAGTGGGCGGATCCGCCGGATGTCGCTGGGCTGTGGTTTGGGGCAGATTTTGCACGGTCCGGGAAGCACGACTAGCTGCGTAATCCCCGGAACTGCTCCTCTCATTGTCCTTGGACACGCAAGGATCTCATCATGTTCAAGCCGACGCGGTATGGCCCAGAGCCGCATGAGGTGCACGGAGACACACAACTGCATTTGGCTGCAATCTAAGTGTCAATGGTTGGCTCCAGGGACGAGATTTCCGGTCGAAAGCTGAACCTAGACCCACATTTTGTGGAGCTTTCCCCGCTCGCGGTCACCTGTTGTGATGTGCTCCGGTTCGGGACTATAGTGGAGGCTTGATTGCCGTAGGCCATGCGGCATGACAGGAGGCCGCCGCTCGTCCAAGGACCCAGGCTCTATGATGAAGTACCGAGCGCACGCCATCCACATGCTGTACCCTCACATCGACGAGCTCTTCTGCGCCTTGCCTGGCCCATGACGTAAATGTTTGCACTGCCTCGGACAGCGCGTCGTGCGCTCAAGCGTTTAGAATCTTTGCCTGCGGGTTTGCGTGAGGCCTGGTGTACTCTGCATCTGGTTTCAACAAGGGCAAAGAGTTGGTGAAGTCGTCTTTCCACCTGGATGCTCGGCTTGTCTTGGGCCCTTAGGCTTGTCTTCCTGTAGATCCGTAGATTTCAGCTGGTGTTTTCTACTGGGTCAGGGCATTGCAGAAACCGAAGTGCTGCCAATAACAGCACTCCTCAAAGGTAGATCTGTGTGCATGTGACCCTGCTTGCTCAAACATGCATACACAGCACACGTACCTTGCGCATGGTACCATACATACAAATTACATACATACATACATACCTACATACCTACGTACCTACATACCTACCTACCTACGTACGTACGTAAATACGTAAGTACGTACATAAGCACTTCCAAGCTGCATATGTGTACAGGCATACATGCGACACACAACGTGCAGGCCATATGTACCATGCATATGCATGCACACATCCCTGCATATCCCTGCTATAAGTATACATGCATGCTATGCTATGGTGTGCTGTGTTGTGCCCTGCCATGCCAGTGAACATGGTAAGGCTGGTGCTCATGTTACTGCTGATGCTATGCTATGCTATGGTGTGTTATGTTATTCTCATGCTATTCTGCGATACGTTATGTTGGGTTTTGTAACCTGCGTACTGTACGTATGTAGGCGTGCATGTATGAATGAATGAAAGGATGAATGGACGGATGGATGCACGCTTGGACAGGTATAGACAAAGAGACAGATAGATTTAGGTATAGATTCTCCATCCAGATAGACAGAACAGCACAGTACAGCACGTTAGGACAGAGCGCAAAGGAGCGCAACACAACGCAATGCGCTACGACGGAAGACAGCACAAGACAATGCCGTGCTATACACGTAGGCAGGTAGGTATTTGCATGCATTTACTTACTTGTTCATGTATGAATGTTGTGTTCATGTACTTATTTATGTCTTCATATGTCTTCATTTTCTGTTCACCTACTTGCATATAGGCACACCTCACGTCTTGCATTTGCTCTCGGGACATTTCTGAAAGATCCATGCCTCAGCGAAACAGGTGTGGCCGCAGCTTGTTGTCGATCCTGACAGAGCCAAAGTCATTCGCGCCTGGGCTGTCCAGCGTTCTCACGTCGGACTTCCTCCCTGTTTTTTCGCTCAAACATCTGAGATGCTCTGAGGCTATGTGACTTTGGGCGTCTTCAAGAATGAAACCAATAAGGAAGGCGCAGCCGGGCTCACAGATGTTGACAGCTTGCTGGCGGCTATCGCTTATGCAGGTTCTGACATCCACAAGATGCAGCAGAAACTGATGGAGATGGATCCCAGCAATGAGTGGGAGAACCTCGGCTGAATGAGGCTTTGGCATGCCTTGGTCACCACATGAGCGCAGCTTCAGGGTTCGAATACGTCAGAAATTCAACATGAAGGGTGCAGATCTGTTGGTCCAGACCGCACGGCGTTGCCTGCGAGGTTGGTTTTCGACAGCACCACCATCAACGCCAGAAATGGCCTGCGGCTGCCATACTCTGACAAAGCCTCCATGGTCGTCAAAGATCCGGACCTTTTGGGAGCTGCATTTCGCCACGACATGATTTTCGGAACACCTCTCCAAACTGTTAGAGTATCCGTCTAAAGCTCACGGGCAGCATATGATGCCGCACATAGCGTGGACTCGGAGCACGTCAGCCTCTGACCTGCGGAAGGAAGACAAAGCGAGGATTAAGCGAGGAGAGCTGTCGAAGAATTCAGCCTTCAAGGCCAGGAGCTTTCGGCCCTTATTGGGTTCGTGAATACCAGGTTTAGTGGCTGCGCAAATGTGCAAAGAGTGTAGATCATGTCACCAGAGCTGAGCCCCTGGGCCTCTGTTCGCCTTGCAGGTCCGCGTCGTGGAAGGACGGCCGTCGAAAGCGGTGGGGCGCATCAACTTCAAGTTCGCAAAGGCACCCAAGATGTGAAATCGGAAACTTACGTCTGGAGGGCGGAGCTCATGGTCTGAGGCTGTAGCTTTAATCGCCTTACTCGACAAAACTTCAAGAGGCCCTGCAACCAGCGTCTGACGGCCTTGAACTGCGGTTGAGACTTGAAGCATTCAGGCACTGATTCAGCAGCTGCCTGCCAAGTCCACTGCAGGATGACGATGGCGTAGATCGGCTAGTGGAGGCAGCCTGGGTCCAGGACATTGACGGGCCGGCAGGGCTTGACTGTGATTCGATGCCGCATGACGAGATCATATCACCCCGGGCAGGACGAACAGTCGCTGGAGCGATCCGAGCACCATGGCACAGACAGCCGGGCAAGGGGCTCCCATGCTTCGTTGGACGTAGGTTTGTCATGGTTTGTCACCCAAGATCATACAGACATTGAGAAAAGACTTCCTGTGGCCCGACTCGAGCTGAGGTGGATTCGCATGGGCTCCTGCCGCCTTGACCAGGGCGACCTGGAGTCGACCAGGTTCCGTCAAAAACAATATAAAACCCATGGAGGGTCGTGTAGCTTCGTGTCCGCTTCTCCTCTTGACTCCGGCTCTTGCCTGGAATTTCCAGCTTTGAGATTCGGTGCTGTGTCAACCGGCGCTTCCCAATGCATTGCGGCGACTCATTACGGCCATGCTTTTTTGAAGCGGTATCGCAGCGTATATCTAGGCGCTTAAAGCCGTTTTGTCCGCGTGACGGTTGATGACCTCTTGCGGGACAAACATGGAATCGCATGGTGCCGTAGTCTTCGCATGGGTGATGAAATATACTTGTTTACATGCCCCCAGCAGGCCTCGCAACCTGCCCGGACAGCCTATATAGAGTCCAGCCAGAACGACGGTAGCTTACAGTTCGCGACGGACTCGTCAAGCCAAGTCAACCATCACAATGAGTCGTTTCATGTCAGAGTCTCACAGTGTCGCCAGGATGACGCCTTGGCAGCTGGGTCCGGACAGTGTGGGATGTTTACGGTAAGAGTTGTTCAAGCAAGGCTTCGGCAGCAAACAAGGCTGTGGTTGCTTGTTCAGCTATCTCCTGTTGCCGCCTGTGCTGGCGAGGACGTCATGGAGCTGTTGCCAAAAAAGCCAGGCCATCTGGAGCTCGTGGCGCTTCTTAGGGATGGTGGCTAGTAGGATGCTGTGCACTCAGCGCCCGGTTCTTCAACTTCAGAAGTTCTCAGATATTGTCCGCCACCTTCATGGTTCCTGACCCGTCATTCATCATCAGCCTCACAAGCTTTCTCGTTAACCAACGAATCGCCCGCGGGCACGCGCAGAATGCCCTGTAGGCGAGAAGTACTACCGCGAGTCCGAGGACGAGTCAGGCTCGGCAATTTCTGCAGATTTGCGTAGCAACAGGTGGATAGTGGCCGTACGCCTCCCACCCGCGACTCATGTCAGCAAAGCCACTGGGGAAGTCTTGCCAGGAATCTTCAAAACTCACGTGCCGTACCCGAACATCCTGCGCTGTTCGTGCCTGAGCGGCATGTGGACCGTTGCTGAGCCTGTACACCCAGCCCAAGCCCAAAAGCGAAGGGTGGTTGATGTGTTCGCGTGAAGGGGGTTTCTGAGGATCGGGTCAATTTGCATCGACGGAAGACCGTTTGCTCATCCCGTTGAACTCAAATGCTCGCCATGAGCAGCTGCATGTTTCAACATGAACCGACATCGTGTCCAGGCTCTCGGTCAAGGATTTCGTTGCCAAGTTTGACGAGCAGCTTGAGGACGAGATGGAAGCATCCCATTTGCATTGCTACACAACCCCTTGCCAAAGGGACTTAGCAAGCCGTTTGAGACTTTTAAAGTTGAGATGTTTGCCAAGTTTTCTCGAGAGCGGAGCTTCTAAGCTGAGGCGCTCCATGGAGAGGGGGAGTTCGATCTGCGGCAACGCCCCTTGCCTGGCAAGTGCTTGTGCATTTTCGCCCATACTATAACCATAGAATAGTACCCCCAAAGCCCTGTTCTAATTATTAGTAAAGCCCTACATTACCTAATTGATGGAATGCTTCCAAGACGGCTGTGGCAGGAATCGCAGGCCAATGGATCTCGATCACGGAAGACCAGGCAGGAACTTCAGAGGCTTTTGAGTTGAATCCTTCTCTGACTCTGTAGATTTCCAGGATCTAGCTGTTGCGATTTGTCGATGCTGCATCGTAACATGTAAAGCTGTCTGTCTAGGATCTAGATACTGTTCCAGTGCTGTTGTAAACCCTAGCGAATCCCGGATTCCGGCACGTGCCCAGCAGTTCACTCTTTCTGGAAGTCCAGCATCTTGGTCCGAGGCGCTTTGGCGGGCTCCTGCGGCGCGGCAGTTTGCCAACAAGTTCCCGGACCCCCTCGAAGGGCATACTGCAAAATGCAGAACACATCTGGTTTGCTGGTCGGGCTTCCCGGGGTTGTAGGCAGCTCTGTACCTCCTTACGAAGGACTGGTACTGGGGCATGAACTCCAAGCAGTGGCTTGGTAGCAACGAAGTGTGCAAGAGCAAGGAGCCAATTCTCGGGTAGGACTGCTGCTGCTGATGGTGATGGTGATGATAATTATAACACGAGAACGCATAAACTCAGTAGGACAGTAGGACGTTGTAGGACACACGGAATAGTCATGGAATATTGGCAGACGCCTCCGGCAGAGCCAAGGCTTCTCCGGCCAGCGGAGATGACTTATCTCCAACAGAAGGGGAAGTTGATGCTTCGCGGCTTCAGTGATTCGAGTTCGCAAGTGGCCCTTCGACGTTTGTGGCTGAAGGCAAAAGGCAGAAGAGCTGCATGAATGAAGAAACCGTCGTCTTCTGGACTTCGTCGTTTGCATAGGAATACAGAACTCAGACGCCCCCTGCCCCTACCGTGCAGCAAAGCCACCGACTTGCGCCCTTCGCCCAGTGTCGATGGCCCTGATGACGTTCGGACGGCGCTCGTCCGTGTTTTGAAGCTTCTTGGCGCATCGGAGAGGTGGCCATCCAAACCAGGGCTTCTTTCGGAGTGCTCGGAGGGGAAGGCTTATAGCTTGCAGTGGCTGTGCTGGATAAGTTTCCAAGCCTTGGAAAGTCCATGAACAAGGCGTTCCTCACCAGCTAGCTGATCAGGTCAACCGACGAATTCGTACTGTTGCGCGCTGTCACAGGAGTAGCTGGTTGACCGCTCGATTCTGCGATGCCGTTGTTTGTGCTAGTTGCGATGGGCTGTCGAGGATCAATGTCCGGATCTAATTAGAGGGTCGTGGGTTCGAGGCTCATAAACCTGCAGGATTCAGGAGGGGGAAATTGAGATCTGTTGCTGGTTTTTAGTCGGGAAATTGCATCGCCAGGAGTTCAACTGAAGTAGCGGAGTCAACAGCGCGCGCCGAGGTTATGCCGAACGGAGCTGGACGACAATCCGATCATGCCCTACACCCGGATGGTCCAGGCGGTTTTCAGAATTGCGATGACATGCCTCTGGTGGAGAAAGAGCCGAGGCCCGTCTTCAACACGGAGATGATGGACCGATTCCCCGACTTACCAGCCGGTGGTTTCTCCAGCGGTGGTTTTGGGTAAGGTGGGGTGAGCGGTAAAAGTAGAGGGAGGGGGATACCTGTCGGGGGGAACTGTGGCAGTGGATCGAAGCGGCGTTCGCAGTTCAAGCTTCAAAGCTGCAGGCCTCGGCGCAGAACGGAGCCGAAGCGCATCGACTCGTCATCTGAAGTTCTGAATCTCGTTGGGATCGCAGCATGGAGGAGTCTAGGACGTAAAGGGCCACGTGGTCGCCGGGACCTGCCCCAAGGGCACGTCGCCTCGACGGTTAGCTTCGTTAGATGTCAGCCGGTGGCTGAGGCCAGCGCTTGACAAACTGGCACGTTACAAAAGAGTCTCCCTCACAGCTTTGGAACCATGCGACTTCCTTCAGCATAGGCACCGAGACATGAAGTCGGACACGCGTCATCCCAGACAGCCCTGACGCTGCTGCCTCGTGCAAAGGCCCAGTTTGCACGGGAGAAGCCGCAAGCTGAGATGCCAGATCCAAGGTTAATGCCAGAAGAGTTGGAGACATCAACCAAGTACAAGTACAGCCCGCAAGTCTGCTTTCCGAATCGGAGTATACTGGGAGGGGCATCGCAAAGAAGATGGACCGTCTGCTTCGTCCAAAGCTCTAAGCCTTGCCTTGGCGGTCTCAGGTTCGAATGCCGGAAGCCAGACTCTTTCCTGCAGTGGGTGAAGCAGAAGTCAGAAGTCTTCTGAGTCAAGACGGTTTGAACGTTGAACCCGACACCCGAAAGCCCCCTAAAAGGACAACATCATCATCAGTCATCATCAGTTGGAGCTCCGTTTTGACGGGCGCCGCCACATGGAAGAGCTCCCTGCGGAAAGCAGCCAAGCCGCGTCAAACCCCACGATACCCTGCGAAAACATTTGAGAAATCTGTGTCATATCTGGTTTTCGGCAGACCCCCGCCAAACTTTGATGAGTTGAGTCGAGTCGTTGTCTTTCGTGAAGATCAGGGGGACGTTCTCAGGCAGAGCCCATCAAAGTCTAACAGCAAGTTCATGGGAGCTTTTTGTCGTGTGTGGCATCATCCTATAAACAAATTAAGAGGCTGGGCGAGGAGAGGCTTACGTAGATGTTCATGCTCGCACTTTTTTTGTATATAGCCGCAACTCTATCCTTGGAGCCAGATGGCCCTTTGCCCTGACAGTGAATGATCTAGGACTGCGGAACCCTTTTTCCAGGCAGTTGTAGCGCTGGACGTCCGTTCCAAGGAAGGCTACTACCACCTTGTCGCCGAGCTCCGGAAGTCCAGCGTGCCGTTGGGAGGCGCAGCCAGCGTAAGAGGTTGCCTAGAGGCAGAAGTGTGGATCCACCGCTCGGGAGGCTCGTGCGTTCATGAGGGAATGAACAAAGAAAGGAATGGATGGACGGAGCGGGATGGATGGAATGATGGAATGGAAACACATAACATGCAATGAAAGGAAGGGGGACAAACGAACGGAGGAACGAACTATCGTGCAGTGCGTGTGTGGTGACAAGCATAACACGAGGCATGTAAGTACTTCGGGTATGGTATGGCATGTAATGCCATGGTAAAGTATGGTTTGGTATTTTATGATTTTATGGTATGGCGGATGGCGTGAGAGGTCGCTGTATGCATGTCTGTCCATGCATGCGTGCAATGAATGTATGTATGTATGTATGTACGTACGCACGTATGTATTTATGTACGTATGTATGCATGTATGTATGCATGCATGTATGTATGTACGTACGTGGGTATGTACCCGTGTGTGTACGTGGGAGAGGGTGGATGGACAGATGGATGGGCACTGTTCCCATTCATTTGTTTCTTTGTGTGTTTGTTGGTTGGTTCACAAATTTTTTGTTTGCGGATCTAAATCGCACATACATACCGACATGAATACATGCATACGTACACATGTGCATACATGCACATGAGACTCACGGTCCAAGATCAAGATCGACCTGCCCAGTAGTATCGGACAATAAGTCGGCCAACTCTGAAACTGGCAGCATGACATCGCGACTTGGTAGTTTTCCTCTAAAATCGATGTGTGCAGGACTGGGCGAGAAGTTCCAGCCGCCGCCGTCATGAGGCACCATAAAAGGGCGACAACGTTGCACGATGTTGCACGTTCCCGCCAACCGCCCTGCAGCAGAAAGCACACTCGTCCTTAGATGTCCAATCGTCACAGGTCTCGTCTCTGTTGCTTTTGATTATTCACGGAATATATAATTACCATGACGAAATGTAGCAATGCGTGCTGGTGGGCAAGGTCGCGTCGTCACTCTAATCATTAATCATCAGAATCATCAGGGCATTCACTTCAACAGGCGGCGGTAATCTCACTGTGTTGACTGGCCTCCACGATGCATCGAAGCCGGCTCAGTGCAGCGGTTGCGGTCTGGCTTGCGTGCCCAGTTCTTATGCAGGTGCTGGTCACGGGGATGCACCCGGAAGTTGAGTTTTAGCACTCAAGGTTTCACCCGACGCTTCACCATGCTCAGCCCTGCGTGGTGTCCTCTTAACCCAAGTAGCTTGTTAAGTTTCATGCTCGTGGCTGTGCAGACCACTCTGCACCAAAAGGTGGAGGGTGCTGAAGTCATGGACAGCTGGAGAAAACGATGCTGGCTTTCAGGGCCTGTTGTATAATTGCACCGGGTCTTTCTGGGGTTTGTTGTGGTTCATGGGTCTGCCCATGTCAATGCTCTCATCGTGCTCTGTGTGTCGCCCTGTTCCCTGGCAGATTCTGCGCACTGTTCCAGCAGAGTCCAGCATGTCGCTGAGGTGGTCTACCGAATTCGTTTGTTCGCGGATGTCTATAGAATCTCCAGTCTCCAGTGCTGCCTGCAGCTGTCATCTGTCTTGAGTGTCCTCCCCCTCCAACGGCTCGACCAGTCGTGCGACTTTGAATTGGAGGGCTCGTTTGTGGCACACGCCGTGGCCCGCAAGCTCAACATTGGGAAGAGCAGCCATCCGCTGGAGGCGTCCCTGATTGCACCGGCCTTACTTCACACACACCCCCGCAACAGAACCGAAGTCTTTTCGACCGAAGGAAGGGTCTTACACAGTTCTGCGCTTCCTTTGCCAAGGACTGGGAGCGGGGCTCGAAAAGATGTCCAAAAGCTTTGGGAGCATGCTGCTGATCTATGGCCCCGGCTCTCAGGGTTTCTTGGAGTCTCCTTTGGAACTTCTGCCTTGGCTCCTTGGGGCCCCTTGAGTCCATTTTGAAACTCGGCTTGAGGCGCCTTCCTTGCCATCTGTGGCACTGCCGGGGCAGCCCTGCACAGCCGCTTGGCCAAGAGAGCATGGAAAGCTCAGCCGCCCTGTTCGTGTGATGATAGCTCCCCAGTAGCTTGTGATTGTGTCTCCGTGATGGCCGTTCTGTTCGTCTCTGGGCGAAGGGATGGCTGCGAGACACGTTGCATCTGCCATAGATCGAGAGCTAGGCCTGCTTCTACAGACTCGCACGGAAGCTCCCAGCTGATTTGGGAACCAAGGCTGGGAGAAGAAAGCGATGCACTCGATGTACGCAGGCCCCGAGCACCTATGTACTCCCCCAAAGGACGTGTTCCAGTTCAGGGGCCCCCCCATGCCATGGTTCAAGCTCGCCCCAGCCAGGCGACGTGACTAGTTACAGTAGTCGCCGTTGGCTACTGTGTTCTCAAAGGACATGAGTTGATGGCTGGTGGTACCCCGGTCTCGCAACAGTGCGTTCTTACTGCAGCAAGTCAGGTCTGTTTGGTGCGATTTGGCTGTAAACTTATGCTGAACGGTAGCTAGAGGCTTCTGGGGATCTTGGCAATGCCAGGCCTCGGCGGTTTTGTCTCGATGGCTGTGTGCGGCGTCCTAGCTGCCACCGAGGCGAAGGCACGATCGGGGGTCAGTTTAGACAGAGTGCAGAGCTCGGCCCCTGTTGCCCGACGGCTGAGACAGGATTGCTCCGGATCCACCGGTGTACTTGTCGGGGCAAGCCAATTCAAACTGCGCTTCCGCGGCTGTTGTCTTGAGATCGAGAAATTCAGCGCCAAAGATGCGCCCAGACTTGCATGTCAACAGTATATCAGGCGACACAGCAGTGATATCCAAGCTGCCTTCAGAATTTAACCCTCTAACACCTAATCCGAAGCTTTGGCGTGGACCCTATTGAGCACCTACGCCCTCAACCCCAAGCCCTCGAGCTCGCAGCTTGCTAGTATACTCCCTCTTCGCAGTGCGGCGGATGCGCTGTAGGACTGCATGGAGGCTCAGTCGAGATCCGTTGAAGACCCCATGGCAGCCCGATCCTCTTGTCAGGTATCACAGATCTGAAGCTCTTGCCTCGGGAGCCCCGTGCAGACACCTAAGCCCCGGCCAAGCTCTCGCTTGGAGCGGCGCCATCGCCTTGGAACATGGCACTCCTCCGCGAGCTTGGCCCGGCTACGGCTGGGATCCAAGCCTGAGGGGCCAGGTGAGGTTAGGGTTTTCACCGCCCTTCTGCACGAGTGCTTTTGCTTCGCTCTGGGCATCTCAGAATCCCGGAAGTCTTGGGACACGGACAGAGCCCAGAGCCTATGCAGACCCTATACAGCACCAAAGGTCGCCCGCGGTGGCTTCTCATAGTTTCCCTCTTCCTTCTTCCTGCATAGCAAGCGTCGTAAGGAAGCACGAACGGGATCGCCTGCCGAGGATCTGCTGCCTGGGCTGCCAACTCGGGCTGTGAGACCTCGTGCTTTAAGCCACCCGGCTTTCTGATGTAGACTCTGGACTGGCCGCTGAAGTCTTTGATGCCATCCGCGATGGCGGCCTTTGCTAGTACCATGTTTCTGTCATTTACTGTCACTGTCAAAATGCTAGTTTACCTCGTGCCATCTTACCATTAAATTACTATGAGAATGCCAGTTTAGAAAGGACCCTCCCCTACATTAAGGCACCCAAACCCTACTCGCATTGCCGGTCCCAGGCTTCCAGGCCATCTCCGTGTCTCGGCTCAGGGCTATCGTTTGCATTCTGGGATGGGGTTCTAGGCTGTATGGGATTTAGGGGTTAAGGGGATTTAGGTTTGACGGATTGTTCGACGGATTTTGGGTTTAAGAGATCTACAGGTTTACGGGTTTAAGAAAAGAATGCTGTCTCTCGGAGTTTCCCGGCTGGTTGCGAGAGTCCTGGATGCAAAAAGAAAAGAATGGGGCTAGGAAGGGTTTCAGGCACCTCAGAGAGACCTCGTTCAAAAAGGGTCTNNGGGTTTGGAAGGATTTCGGTTTTCGGTTTCAAGGGCTTCAGCGTTTAGGCAAGAAGTCCGAGTGGGGAAGACCAGGACAGCGAGTCTTCATGCCGAGTTGGGAAGTTGTCAAGA